AAGAACCAGACTGCTGTTAAAAAATAATTATAAAATTTATTTAGGAACTATTAATAGAGAGACATTATTGCCAACACATTACTTTGAAGCCAATCAGAAAAGAAAACAACAAAGCTAGCTTCAACTACCAAACACTTGCAAGAAGTGTGTTAGGTGGCACAAACCTTAATTTCGATAGAAAGGCCCACTCCTCCACATGCAGCCAGCTGGGTGACCTTGGGTCATTCACAGTTCTTTCAGAGCTGTTCTCTCAAGAGCAGTTCTCTCAGAACTCTCTCAGCCCCACCTACCTCACAGGGTGTCTGTTGTGGAGGTGGGAAGGGAAAGGAGATTGTAAGCCTCTCTGAGACTCTGAGTGGAAGGTGGAGTATCAATCCAACTCTTCTTCTTCATTCAGCATTGTCTACATTTCTAGCAATTGCAGGTCATAGTCTTGGCCTATAGTCCATGAAAATCTCAGCTACCCCCCTACTTTCAGGGCCTCAGTTCAATTATAGTTTTTTGGCCCAGCATATCAGGTGATGATGATATCCAATCAGATCATGTCTCCAAGAGAAGCCTCTAGAAGATTACCTCACCACTCCCTGTCTCCCCCCCTCCCATCACATATCACAGGATCCCATGAGAAGCTAATTACTAGGCTTCCATCTTTGGCCTTGAAGGTGATAAGAGCTATGCCAGCCAAAAAACCAATTAACAAACCCTCTAAGCAATGCAGGCCAGTTTGATGTAGTGGTTATGAGTGTGGACTCTAATCTGGGAGAACCAGGTTTGATTCTCCACTCCTCCACATGCAGCTGCTGGTGTGACCCTGGGTCAGTCACAGTTCTCTCAGAGCTGTTCTCTCAAGAGCAGTTCTCAAAAGAGTTCTCTCAGCCCCACCTACCTCACATAGGGTGTCTGTTGTGGGGAGAGGAAGGGAAAGGAGATTGTAAGCCACTCTGAGACTCCTTCAGGTAGTGAAGGGTGGGATATAAAGCCAATGGCCTCCTCCTCTTCTTCTCATCCACATTAACCCTTGAGGGGAGGCTGGGGAAGGGCTTTGCCTCACAGGGGATATTCAGGTATGCTGCTTTGTCGCACACTTCTGTGTAAGGACAGCAGAATTGCTCCCTAAATGTATTCTGGATGGTCAACTGAAGGATGCATGAGGGGGGAAAGTGACACGTGCTTCCTAAGGCTTTTTCATTTACGGTCTTTGCAGAGCTATCATCAAGTGAGGATTTCACTCACAGTAATTATTGTCAGGATTTATTTCCTGACCTGCCTGTATGCCTAGTCAATTTACTGTCAAGGAGTGCCTTTGAGGTCTGCAGCTTTTCTTTTCTTTTTTACAATTAATTTCCCCACTACTTGTTAGTAGATTGGCCCTTTTTTTGAAAAATACATATGGCATTATAGTTATTTTTGGTACATAAACCCTAGAGGGCATCATTGGCACAGTTCTACAAAGCTGGGAGGGTGAATACTTGTATCTGCAGCTTAGTTACATGATCTAAATTTGTTTGTTTGTGCTGCTTTTCTTAGTCAACCTATAAGACATCAGGATCAACATCTACAATTGAGATTTGATGATGTAAATCAAAGAAACTCCAGCACAGCACTAATCTGTGCATGAGCAACCATTCAAATTACTGGAAGATGTTTGTATGAAACTGAAAGAGTATTTTCCTAATAATGAAGCCATTCTTGACCAAATTTCTCAAGTGAAGAGTGTCTTCCTTTCCTGGAATTCTACCATTTAACTCTTGAAAGTAGATAGTTGGCCTGAAGCTGTAAGATTGTGTTTCCATTTGGTCCAGTATGTAATCTTAATGAAGAGCTACAGCCTCAAGGTCCACAAGGAAACTTTCCTTCTAAACCAGCATGCATTGTTCATCCATATTGTTCATAGTGGGGTAATGTTCTTTGGGGTTTTTTCATTGTGCTATTGTTTAGACAACAAGTACTTTTGCTTGACAGCTGGACACATACATGATTGACAAGAAAATGACATATCCAGCTGTGAAGATTCAACCTTGATATAATCATGTCCCAACTCTACCCAAAACCCTATTTGTTATCACTGTTATCATTATCAATAATTATAACTAACCCGTTTCATACAAAGACATGGTACAAAACTTTCTGTCATATTCAACTAAAGATCCCAGTAATCTTTCTGTGGGTGAAATGAGCTATTTTTGTTGAAGAAGAGACATAAGTAGGGTTTTGCAACCTGCTTTTCTCTATCCTAAAGAGTCTCAAAGCAGCTTATAATTGCCTTCCCTTCTTCTCACCACAGCAGGCAGCTTGGGAGGTAGGTGGGTCTGAGAGAGTTCTGAGAGAACTTTGACTGGCCCAAGGTCACCCAGCAGGCTTCATGTGGAGGAGTAGGGGAATCAGACCCGGTTCTCCAGATTAGAGTTCACACTGGCTCTTTTGGGGGGGAAAATGGGTGATTGCTTATATTTCAATAGGAACCTAGGAATATAAGGAGAGGCCAGCTGGATCAATCCAAATTTCCATTTAGCTGAGCATGTGCTGCCAAACAATGGGGCAGTCAACTGCCTGTGGGAGATTTCTAAGCAAACCCTGAACACAACAGCCTTCACCTGTTTGTTTTTCACATCTGCTGTTCAAACGCATAATGACTACAAACATGGAGGTTCAATTTAACCATCATTGCTAAGAGATGTTGATGGAAGGATCCTCCATGAATACATCAATATCTGTTCTTCAATAAGCACAGATTCAGGTGTGGATAAAGCTTTTTTTTTAATGATGGTTTTGTAAAACAAGCTCTATGAAGTATCCCGTTAGTGGCAGCAGCTGAATGTTTTGTTGAATCAATTAATGAATACATTTCACAGATAAATAGCTTTTCTTTGCGAACAATTTCCTGTGCATTAGCATTTTCTGTTACATGTAGAATTTCCTCCTACCTAAATGTGATTCTAAGGTCTGGTAATGAACAGGTGAAAATAGTCAGGAAAGCAACTGTGAATGCCAGTACTCCCTTAATAGTTTGCTGGTTATGGAGTGGGTTCCCCCTTAAGTAAAAGTGGGAGTCAGGTAGTTGTTTTTTTTAATCTTCTCTGTGCAATTATGAATGTACTGGTGTTTAAAAGCTTTTCTTTGGTTTGTTCCTCAAAGCGCCTTCTGAAAAGCTGTAAGAACAGAACACCAGAAAGGAGCTTGAAAGTAATTATTTATAGAGCAACTTGGGGTTTTCTCTTTATTGGCTCTGTGACCAATTAACAACTTGAAAGACAGAGAATCAACAACATCCTTCAGCTGTATCTGGCTTTCTGACCTCCACATATTCTATTTGTAGCAGCAATGGCCAGAAACTACTAGACAAACTCTCCACTTTACTAGTACAAAAAAATCTATCAAGCTATTATTCAGGAAACTGAATTTTCTGACAGATCCATCTTTATGTAGTTCAGATGGATTTGAGTGTCCATTGCCAGGAGAAAAAGACATTTTTCAGACTTTATGTGTTTGGAAAGGTCAGCTACAAATATCATATTTTGTGTATGGTTTCATATATCTTAGCCAGTATTCCTTGCTTTCCCCTGCAGAACATATATCTACAGTGTGGATTAAAACAGGATTCATCATCACAACAAAAAAGACATTCTTGTTTTGATCCTAAAAACCCCTTCCGCTAAATCAGGAGCCTTGCTGCAGTCAAAGGAGGCTTACTCTGGTGGAAGGAGCCTTGTTCAGTGGGAGCAAGTATGCTCCATCAGAGGAAGACTTCCTCAGTCAGTAGCAGGGAGATTCAGCAGGGGGTTGTAGTACAGCCCTCTAAGTATATATACATACTGGGGTTCTTGATGCAGCTAGTGAAGTGTGGCTTTGGTTAAGGTCTTCAAATATCCCTCTGACTCCTTTGCATTGCCTATGTGTTTGTTCAAAACATATTTTTGTTTCCATTGGCCAAATTTTGGTTTCTTTTCACAAAATACCGAATACAATCCTAAACTGAGTATGTGCAGAATCCTACTCAGCTCCACAATATATAATCTGAAAACCCATAGAGTACTGAAATAAAAGAAAAGGCTGAAGGTCATAATTTTAAAATAAATAATTTATTAAACAATAGAATAAAAGAAAAGGTTGAATACCACATGGATATTCATGGACCTCCTAATTTCATACTCAATAGGTTTACCTGTTCTCTTTAAGGATGCAGCAGTCTCTGATCACACAACAGGCTGACCAGACATTCTGTGACATCAAACCTAAGCAACTAATGTCAACCAATAAATGACATGAGAAGATCTGATGCAAGACCCCAATAAGCTATGAGATTAAATTAGACAACGGCATCAAGAGGGGCATAGACAGGGAAGAAACAGACTCCAGAGAAATTTATAAGAGTAAATAATCATTTAAAAAGGTAAAGGTTCCCTTGCTCGAAAGCCAGTCGAATCCGACTCTAGGGCTACGGTGCTCATCTCCGTTTCCAAGCCGAAGAGCCAGCGCTGTCTGAAGACATTTCCGTGGTCATGTGGCCGGCATGACTAAGCACCAAGGTGCACGGAACGCTGTTACCTTCCCACCAAAGTGGTACCTATCTATCTACTTGCAATTTCTTGCTTTCGAACTGCTAGGTTGGCAGGAGCTGGAACTAGAGATGGGAGCTCACTCCATCATGCGGCACCCGGGTCTTGAACTGCTGAACTACTGACCTTCCACAGCCTGCAGTTCAGCGTCTTAACCACTTGAGCCACTTGGATTGGGCATAAAATGGTTTAAATCCAGAAGATAGAGAATACAGTACCATCAGCAGGGAAGTTCACTGCCAAGTAGCCCCACATTAAAGGAATTCAAAAAAAAAAGAGCAGCAAAAAATATGGCATGGGAAATTTTATCAATAACTGATGCAAAGCATATTAAACAGTGCTGTATATTCAAATTTAAATAAAATAGTTTTTCCCCCCCTCTAAAGTGTGTTTGCTTTCCCCTGCAGGTATCTTCACTAGGTAAAGATCACCTTGAAGGAAAGCATGGATTTCCTAAATGTTACTGAACAGAATTATACTTTGAAACAAAATGATACATCAGAAGAACTTCCCACGTCCAAGGTTCTGATTTCTCTTACACTTTCTGTGCTGGCTGTAATGACAACTGTCATCAACTCTCTGGTGATGACTGCAATCATTGTGACACGGAAGCTTCATCACCCTGCCAACTATTTAATCTGCTCCCTGGCCGTCACTGATTTCCTGGTTGCCATCCTGGTGATGCCCTTCAGCATTGTCTACATTGTGAAGGAGACCTGGATCATGGGTCAGGTGATGTGCGACATTTGGCTCAGTGTTGACATCACCTGCTGTACCTGTTCCATCTTACATCTGTCGGCGATTGCTTTGGATCGCTACCGAGCAATCACAGATGCTGTGGAATATGCCAGGAAGAGGACACCTAAGCATGCTGGCATCATGATTGCAATTGTGTGGATCATTTCCATCTTTATCTCAATGCCACCACTCTTTTGGCGGCACCAGGCAGCCAGCAGGGATGATGAATGCATCATTAAGCACGATCACATTGCTTTCACTATTTATTCCACATTTGGAGCCTTTTACATCCCACTGGCATTGATTCTGATCCTTTACTACAAAATATACAAGGCAGCCAAGACTTTCCATAGAAGAAGCGTCAGCCGGGTTCTCAAAGAGGAAGTCAACGGACAGGGTCTCTTGGAAGCAGGTGAAAAAAGCTGTAGGCTAACTTCATCTGCATCATGCACAAAAGATGGTACAACCAACCCTTCAGCAGATTCTGATAGAATCCACATCTCACTCCGAAGCCCCACCTCTGAGTCCAAGAATGAGAAAGGCTGGAGGAGGCAACGGATTTCTACCACAAGAGAGCGAAAGGCAGCAACTACCCTTGGCTTAATTTTAGGTGCCTTTGTCATCTGCTGGCTGCCCTTCTTTGTAAAGGAAGTGGTTGTTAATACCTGTGAAAGTTGTCAAATTTCACCAGAAATGTCTAATTTTCTGGCATGGTTGGGATATATCAACTCTCTTGTTAACCCATTGATTTATACAATCTTCAATGAAGACTTCAAGAAAGCTTTCCAGAAACTTATCCGATGCAGGAGCTATCTCTGAAACAAGTGTATTCCTTGGACAACTTAAAAACTGGTGTTTGAAAAAAAAAGTTCTGTGATAGATTAATAGTTTTGCTAATGGCGGAATATTATCCAACTGTAGTGCAGAATTTGCCAGAATCCATAGACATCCAGGACAACCCAGAAGGTTTCAGGGACATTGTATGCTGTACACACATACCCAGCACTGATACAATATGGTGAGCTAACACCACAGCAGTGTTGGGGACTCAAGTTCTGCATTGCCTATAATATTCCTGAAACCTTTATTTTATTTTAAAGGCATGTTAACCATCTTTTGTTTCAAATGGAACCTAAAGCAGCTTTTTAGAAGACTTTTCAGAAAAAACTAGAACATGTTGGATGTAATAAATTCTAATGGGAGAATCTAGTCTTTAGAATTTCAGATTCTGTAGTGTAAGGCAGATGTTCAAAGGAAATCTGGGCAAAGAAAAATTCTGCTCCATTCCATTATCTTTTTAAGCTTTTAACTACTCTAGCTGTGTTTAAGATATGGCTAACTCAGTTTTTATAATTATCATCCTACAATCGTGATCCACATGCTAAGATGTGGTCTTCAGTCATTATATGTATCGGAGAAATGAAGAATTATATATACAGGAAGGTTTTGTCAGATGAGTGGGAGGGTTTTAAGCACACACGTTTTAATAAGCAGTTCTGCAAGAAAGCAGTTTCATGCGTTCTTGCTTGGCAGATGTTACATAAAACAGCACAGGAACTGTCTCTAGGAAAGGCAGGCATCTGTTTTCTGCGATGTCTTTTAAAATTAAGAAAAGGCATACATGATTTCGCACTCATTAAACTCAGTATTACTATGGAGATTAGAATGGGAGGTCTATCTAACATATTTATTTCTTTAAAAAGTAATGATGAATGGCTTTGGCTTCTAAAATGTGCAATGAAAATGGAAAACTGACTTTGTAATTGCCACTTCCATACATACACTGGAACAAAGTAAAGCCCCCCCCCCTCATTAAACTAGCATATTCTTCAAGAGGTGTATGAAACTAGGCATCACAGCCTGGGCTAGCTAGCAGGGAACCCCTCTGACCCCAAAACAGTTTGGTTGCTGTACGGTAAACAGCACTGCTGAGAACTGTAAAAGCTCCCCTGTCACAGGACAACTGAGAGGGAAGAACTTGAGGAAAACAAACACTTCATATGTCTCCCAGAGCTGATTTTCATGACTGCATAAATGGTTCGATGTTGATTCTTCAGCACATAGGGAACTTTCAATCTGTATACCTTCCAACATTTATCATATTTATTTATTTATTTATTTATTTATGTCTGTCTGTCTGTCTGTCTGTCTTCCTTCCTTCCTTCCTTCCTTCCTTCCTTCCTTCCTTCCTTCCTTCCTGCCTTCCTTTCTCTCTCTCTCTCTCTCTCTCTCTCTTTTCTTTCTCTCTCTCTCTCTCTCTCGCTCTCTCGCTCTCTCGCTCTTTCTCTTTCTTTCTTATTAGATTTACTAGGCCACCTTTCCCTAAAAAAGGGGGCCCAGGGAGGCTTACAACAGGATAATATACATTCTCAATATAAAACTAAATTTTAAAAATCCAGTAACTAGTAGGTAAAAACAGTATATATACAATATATAAGATGCTAGAGAAATCCTAACTCCCCAGTCTCCCTAGGGGGAGGGGTTATGAGGGACTGGGAATTATAGGAGAGTGCCAAAAGAAGTCCCATCACTGTCCTCAACCGAAAGACCAGCGGGACATCTCTGCTTTACATGCCCTGTGGAAAGGGAACAGCTCCCGCATGGCACGGAAGTCTTCCAGCAGAGCATTCCACCAGGTCAAGGACAGTTGGACTTCTCTTGGGCCAGGGACCACCAGCAAGTTCTTATTTCCTGAGCATATTTAGAGTATTTATACCCGATCTCTCTACAATCTGCTGGAGATAGGTGGAAATAGAGTGCCTCGTGTTCTCATATACCCTCCTTCCCACATCATGGATAATTTCTATTACACACTACTGAAGAATCCTGACTGCTATTGATTATATCCTGATATCAAATGAGCCCCACCAGCTGCAACCTATAAAATGACAGGTTCATGTTCTCTCTCTCTCTCTCTCTCTCTCTCTGTATGTGTGTGTGTGTGTGCCATTTTACACACACAACCTTAGCATTCATGCATCTGCATCTATGTATAGATGCAAGCACTAGCCTTTTTTAAAAAGGCATTCTGAATTTTTTTTGTTCCCAACAAAAGAAAGACAAATTTGGAGAGTGATTCACCAGGGACAGCTACCATAAAATAGGAAGGTGGGACTATGCCTGATAAACAGGGACAGAGGGAATGTGTGCCAATACTGAAGTGATAAAACTGGCACTACAGATGCTCAGTGATCAGGGTACAAGCTGCAGTACTCATATTTATCATTTAAAGCATACACATGCAATTATCCTCTGGGGTTTTTCTTTTTCTTTTGAAATTTTTGTATTAGTTTATGGTTTTTTTCTTACTCAAGGCCCTAATCCTGTGCACATTTTCTTGGAAATCAGCATCCCTGACCACAGTGATGTTGACTTCCAAATAAACACACAAGGGATCAGGCCATTCCAGCATCAGAGCTGCTAATAATAACAACTCAATTAAATAGTCTAATAGCACCTAGAAATACAAGCATGAAAAAAATGGCCTTTATTGTCTGACCCATTAAATCTTTAAAAAGTCCTGGAGGAAGGAAGGCACATGAGGTCAGGCTTCTTCAGAACTGCACAGCCAGTTCTATATTCTGACCTGGAAAAAACACTGCCCCATATAAACATGCTTTGGCCATACCTTGTTCAAGGAGGCCACAGCTTTATCAACTATGGCACCTTTCTGCTTCCTGTCATTCAGTCCCTGAGGGGGACAAAATCAGTCAGTGCAGTTTCATTCATTGGCTGCAGCTACTCCACCATCACAGAGCAACTACTATTGTAAGTAAGCCTGAATCAATTCCTCACAGCTTTGTAGACATTACCCTAGTACTTTTAAAAAAAGCAAACCAATTTTGTCTAGGAATACCTGTGCAGCTCCTAGACCTCCTCTCCCATGTGACATCCCTTTTCTAGTTTCTTTACATTAGGTGTCCCTACACCACTCCACCCTTGGCTGAAGGTAACTGGGCTGTCTGGGACTCACAATCTCATTTTTCTGCAGTTCTGTCTGGAAGACAAGCCACATTTAGGGGACCTATCCCAGCATAAGAAACACTATGAACATTATGAAGCATTCCCATGAAAGAGCTCAACCAAGCCCTAGTTTTGCCTGTGTTAAGCTGCTTTTCAGAACAACATGATTCTTTGGCTGCCAGTGTCATTTTGTAGTGTCTCTTCTCATAAGCAACTGAAACTGCAGCCTGCAGGTTTCACAAATTGAAAAGATGCCTATAAAAAAGACAAATCCAACTTACGGCAACCTACCATTGCATACCTTCAGTACAAACAATCCTACGCATGCTTACTTAGGCGCAATACAGTAGAACTTACTTCTGAGTAAACCTGCATAGGATTGAACTACTTGATATTTTGCCATTACTGTGAGTCATTGGTCTTGCAGCCAAAATATTCTGGCAAAGAAATCCCACAGCATCAGTTGGAATTATACTCCCTAAATGGCTTTAATTATCTTTCATACATACAAGCTTGGATCCTGTGGTAAATCTCTGTTAACAAAACCATTTCTGTCAGAGAAATTGGACTTCCTTACCATCAGCTCCTGCTGCAGTCTAAAATGATCCCCAGAATGCTGCTGTTTGGGGACAGGGTATCCTTAGGAACAGCAGAGGAGGGAAGCCAGGGGTTTGCAGCAGGACAAGAGAAATTGCAAAGTTCAGTTCTCTTTCCATTAATGGAAATGTACTCCAGAATCCAACCCAGTTTTGGGGACAGCAAGGATTTTTTTCCCAAATATGATTCTGGGTTGAGGCCTTGTTATGTGTAAATCTTAAGATTCTTCTATCTAGGCAGGAAAAATAGCAACTTATACAGTGGAGGTAGGCTGAGGTCATATTGAACAGTGGTCCCGGTCACATGGCGAATTTGCCACGGGAGAGCCACGGGTGGTGGGCGGATTATCGGGGCGCGATCACACCGCAACATCTGGCAAGTGGAGCACACCCATGGCATACCACCGAAAAAGCATAATTAAAAAAACGGTACCTCATATGTAGTGGCAAATGGTTTGCCATGGGCTGCCTCGGAACTCCTGTGGTGTGATCGTGCCGGCCCCTCGTTAATGCGCAGGTGGGGAGGACAGGACACATGGTTTGCCGTCGACGCATTGGATCACATTATGGCGGCTCTAATTGCACCGAAGCAATTAGCCATGCCTCCCTCCCCCCCGCATTATCTGGCCTATGTGACCCGGGCCAGTATCAAACTGGCCCAGCATTGTAATCACTCATTTATCCACTGCCTTTTCTGTGAAGCTTCTTAACAGGTTGGGTAAATCATCTGATGATGCTGATTGCTAAGAGTAAAACAATGTTCAGGACATTTAGGGGCTATTGTGTTGTATGTAAATATTGCTCTTATGCAAAGTTAACTGAGAACATATTGGTAGAACTGCAGCCAGTAACTGCTTCTTCAAACTCAGCAGCCACTGTGTTCTTCCAGTCTATTAAGCTGCAAGAAAGGGGGGAATTGGCTGGCACTTCATGTTATTCTTGCCTCCAAATAGTGCCATGCATTTGCCTTTCCAAAAGGACAATTTCCTAAAGAAAAGGATCTCGATGTGATGTGTCAGATGAAGGACTTGTTACAACTGTGTAGTGCTATCCTTAAACCTATTTGTCCTAACTGGATGGAGCCAGGTGCTTCTTAATTCATGAATCACAGTGCTGACAATTGATTTCTATGGTCAGTTTTCATAGTGGTTGCTGAGTGCAAAAGTATTATATTGCCATTATTTGTAAGACATCATGGAGCAGAACCAAGAGGAGAAAAGGCACAGCTATAGGAAAGAAGCTGTTGAAGCTCTCATGTCT